AATAATGTTTAAAAAACTTAAATAAATTTAAATATTTATTAAATAATAACAAATAATTTAAATATAAATAAATAAAATATATAAATTTATTTATATTTATTATTACTGATGAAGTAGGAGGGTACTACACACTGCACTCAAATGGTCCATAGAAATAACTCCAGTCGTTTCAAATAATCTTTATGGTTTTAATGAAATTGAGCACTCTCGATAGTTGCGTATTGTTTCATTTGATATGTGAAATAATAAGTTTTGTATCCCAGAGAGTTTAAGACATTCTCAGATAGTGTATTCAGACGTTTCAACATCGTTTTCAGAAAAGCAGCTAATACTAGTTTCTAAAATGAATATTTTGTTAAGATGGCACCAAATCAACAGTGCTCAATGAGAAACTCGGTGAGGTATTGTTTTTTGTTGAGATGGTACCTCAGCCTATAGTATCCCATCAGAAACTCTGTGCGCTATCAAAAACTCGGTAGGAATTTCGACTAAGGTACCATTTTTTGTTGGAATGAAACTTCAGTCTGTGAAGCCCCATAATTAACTCGGTAATAATTTTGATATTCTCTCGCTGAAAGCAAGCAATCTAATAGCGACTATTTAAGATGGGTTGATGCATGTCTTGGTGCGCTTTTAACCTTTTAATTTAATACAGTTTTTATTTATATGTAAATTATATTGATATCCTACATGTTGACGTACTGAATGAAAGGTTTTCCACATGTTCATGGATTTAATAAAGCATTTTTTATCTTGTACTCCCAATATTGGCACCATTGTTTCAGTGATACATATAAGTTATATAAGATTCACATTGAAACCTTAATATTTCACAGAGAGAGTATTTAGAAGACAGTTTAAATTTTTTTCTTTAATAAATGAAACCAAAATTATATATTTCAATTTGTCATTACTATATTCATAGTACTTAATTTAGTTTTTTTTTTAAATTTAAATATCTTGAAATAACCATAATCATATAAATATTAATAAGAAAAAAAGCATCCATTAATCATGTGAAACCATATGAGTATAACCTCCTAACTCGAGCACTTAAACTCTTAGCTATTAAAGCGCGCATCATAAATTTTTGTGACCCATAAACGACTCATTCATCTATAATTTTATTGAGCTTGGAAAAAAATATAATGAATGAAACCATTTATTAGACTTTTAATGACTAAATTAGATATTTAATTATGCATTGAGGACTACTCATCGACTCTGGAAGTTGCCTTCCTCCACTCACATGACTAATTGCACCCATAATTGATTTGCAAAAGTTTCAACAAATTTCTTGGTGCATTTGTGGAAATTGTTTCTCGTTCCGGTTCAGAAATTTAGTTGAATTTCTTTATTGTTCTTGCCCTCATTATTGTTGATTTGTTTATCCAATAAATTTTTATTCCTCCACTGAATCGTCTTGGTCTGCTGTATTTGACATATTCACGAAATTATTTACTTAATAAGCAATTCAGAAAACTTTTCGAAAATTGGCGTCTGCCGATTTGCCTGCCCAGATGTTTAATTAAAACTTATTCGCTACACCAAAAGTCTCCCAAAAACTTAATTATTTATTTCTGCACACTGTTATACATCCACATATGTATATTATATATATATTATAACTATGTACATATATTGTACACTTGAACAAATTAAATATTTGCAATTACTTACACATGTGGACAAATTGTAGCTTTAATTTTGATTATTTATTGTAGTCAGTGATTTATTAGTTAAACTTATTAGTACAAATACGATAGTAGTAACATAAGTTCGATTAATTTTTTTTAATTATTGAATTATAAATATATGTATATATTATACTATGTTCAGATACACCTTAATTTCGCAAAAATCGTAATTTTATCTTCGTTTTAGCGAAATTTAGTTGTTTTTTCCATACAAAATTCAGTTTTAAGGTTAGAACGAAATTAAGGAAAATGGCCTCAATTTCATCAAAACGGAGCCGAAATTAAGGGAAATTTCAAATGCAACTATGCGTAAGATATATTTTAAGCAAAAGATAAAGTTGAGACAACGAAAAAGTGACATTTTTTTTTAAATAAGTGTCAATAACGGCTGATTTTAATAAAACTGGGTGAATTTTTATATTTGAATATACAGAAAGAATTGTAAATGTTATTAATTTAAAATAGAATGAAAAATAATAATTCACATATCTGACATCTAATAAAGCTAACAAAACAATTGAATGCCAAGAATCCTCATAACCCAGGTCACATGTTGTGATGGGTTTCATAAAAGTTTGATCTGCATTATTGTAAATCATATTTTCAGCTAACTGCTTTTAATACTCCTTTCGGTAAAAATCATCTTTCGGTACCATTCGTATAAGACCCTATTTGGCGAAATAATTGTATATTATTTTAATGTACTTCTTTTCTAATAGACAATAGAAACCATGACAACATTTACATCGAAATCATATAAAATAAATGACTACGTTTATCTTATCTTCGTTAATATAATTTTGATGTTCCCTTGGCCAAAATTGAACTCTTTTGACAAATGTCCTCTCAAAGCTCATTGTGCGGGTTCATTGAAAGTTATTATTTTTTATAACTATTTCCTAATAGGTAGTATAAATTATTAGCGCATTTTTGCGATTTAATCTTATTTAGCAAAAAACTATTGCTCCCAATTTTTACTCGAAACACCTAGGCATATACAGTAATGTAATGTCACAGATCTGTAGAGCTATATCTACTTATAGTACCTTTTATATTATACCTTTTAGTATTGCTTTAAAAATATATTAGATTTCATATATGATAACTGGAGCAATGACTAATAGTTTTGAATTCAAGATAACATAGTTCAATACTTATATTATAAATTTTATAATCTTAGTTTCTTATCTCATATAATATTTTATGTGTATAACACTAGAAAAAATAATTTTCATTTTTTTTCCTGTGATATATGTTAATTTTATCTAAAAACAAAGTAATATTTTTTACTTTCTATACTATAAGTTTATAAAAAATTAGTTAATTTGATTTTTTTTGGCAATTTATCATCCTTGCTTGACAATATAGTAGATCAAGACTATAGAACCCCATTTTTCGGTGATACTATATTAAATAAATATTCCAATATTAATACTGTCATAATCAAATTAGTTTATAATTAATTTTTAATTTTTCATTAATTTTTTTTATATAGTCACTATATGAATTTAGTATCCATATGGTTATATGAATACTAAATCCAATCAATTTTATTAGGGATTTCACAGGGGATACTAAATCCATATAACATATGGTAAGGAATTGTAGGGTGTTTCTATTAACATATTGCTTACACAATTGAATTTAATACTACAATTAATTTCATTATCACTCAGACGTAGTTCATTGATATCAGTTAGTGAATAGTGAATAGGAGGGCAATAATGTTATGGAGTAAAGTCTTCTAATTATGAATCATAGATTTGTGGCTACAGTGACAGTTAATAGTTAAGTAGCAGGAATTGGGTGTGCAACTCAAGAATACAGCTAAGTCATAAACGCTGTAAATCTGAGTAATTTTGTTTTAATATAATAAATAAATCCAAGACAACTGATGGTGGGTTGAATTAATTAAAATAATAAAAAGTGTTGTTGTTATATTTCACTACTGTACCTCTATATTATATAATAATATTAATAACACAGTAATATTATTTGTAGGTTATTAAAATGATTAATTTATAATTTATAGGGACTGTTATTTCGATTTATATTATATAGGGTATATTATTTTATTCTATAGACAAATAGGTCTTCTATGCTATAGACAAATAATTAGATCTGCTGACTTATTTGATTAAATAAGGTTAATGCATTGAAATGCAATCCTACTCAAACTTTATACTTCGTTTATAACAAAAAATGTATTGCGTTTATCATAATTCAAATGATAATAAATGCCATTTATCATAATATATATGTATTTGTTATTTCAACTTAAACGTGCTATTATTATAATACTCTACAACTTCTTAAGCGTATAATGCTATAACTAAAAAAAGGTATTTTAAAATATAATTACAAAGTTTATATACTTTTAAATGAAAATATTATTATTTTTAAAATTATTTTGATGTAAATATTAAAAAAATTAATGTATATGTTTTACTTAAATTGTACATTAATACTATATGTAGATATAATATTATTAATATAAATATTATATGTAAATAGAAATATTTTTATATGACTTTAAAAAAATAAATATAATAAATAAAACATTTTAATATTATATGTAGATAAAATGTTATTTATAACGATACTATATGCAAATAAAATTTAAATAACCTTCTATTATGTTATCATTATGTTATGACTTGTTATCATATCAAGTCATGTCAATAAATTTTCATACCCCACAACTTTTGTAAGGCACTGTACATTAACAATTATACACATTTTCTCAGAATTGAATTATTATTAAATCCACAATAACCTTTTATTTTTTATATTCACTCTCCATTCATTTCTTTTCAATTTCATTTAACTCTCCTTCTCTTTTGTGCTATTTAACTGCGATCAATGACTGGTGCTCTTGCTACTTACAAATAAACATAAGAAATTCACCATACCCGCTTAGGTTTACATTAAAATAACAAACAGTTAAACGCCAACACCTAACGAATTAAGTCAATAGTCAAACATTTCGACTGACTTAGTTGTATGACCAAGAAGTAGCGCCAGAGCGTGGTGAAATAGTTTTTATGTTCCACAAAAATAATCTAACCACTTTAACTTTATTTGGAACTTATTTTCAAGTGTGTTCGCAAGTCAACAGCGCAAACGACTTTATTAGTTGTTGGTAGAAAGTTAAGGTGTGTCGTGTTGTGAGCGTGTGCCGGAGCATTTGTAGCTAAAGAAGTTTTGCAGGTGTCGGTAGCGTCTAAGTTTTATTATATTATTAATAAAAAATAACTTAAATTAAAATACATAATATATGAATTATTGAAAAGAAGTAAAAAAGAATATATAATTAATAAAAATATTGTAATTATACGAGAAGAAAACTATATTTTTACGATTTTTTGTACGCGCAACAAGCAAGCAATTTTGTGCTTAGGTGAGTTAAAACAAGAGAGTAATGTGTTTGTGTGTGTGTGTGTGTGTGGAATGGTGTATAACGTAAAGCACGTAATGTTTTGGCTTACTAACATATTTTTTTTTTACTCTTGTTTAGTAACTTTTGTTTACGAATGACGACGTAAAGTTAAACACAATAAAAACATTATTATTAGTAATCAATGTGAAAAATATTAATTTTAATTAATTTTTACTAAATTAATAATAAAAAAATATATACATTTTTATAGCAAATATATAAAATACACTTCAGTTGTGAAACTGTACTGAACGTGTAGTGATTGCTCTTTGTTAAGTTCAGCATTAGGAGCACTTCATCCAAACGCCAACAACACTAATACCAACAACACAAACAACAATAGCGAACATGTCATACGAAGCTGAGAAGACGCTTTCGTTATTTTATCCTTTCATAATTATCACATCGGCCATTTGTTGCATTACTTCAGGAGTTGCTTGGGCGCACTGGCGTTACGTGCTTAATGCCTGTCCGGAAACCAATTGCGGCTGCTATTTGTTTGCACGCTCAACATACTCCAGCTTTGAGGGTGGCCATATCGCCTATTGTCATTTTGCCACATTTGGTCTGCTGTTGCCACTAATATTTGCTATCATCCTGGGTATTTATCACGTTTATCGTGTTTGTATGGGCACTGCAAAACGCAAATCAGGGACCACAACAATACGTCAAAGGTATGTACTGCGTCAGCGACAAACGAAATTCGAATTGTTAGGACAGTTTTAATAGAAATTATGTTTATTTTTGGTCTATAAATGAGACAACATAAAAATATTATTTGGTATTTCATTTTCAGGTAAATTATAATATTTTGTTATTAGTATATTGTTATTAACCCTCTAGTTTCAAGTTCACTTTAAACAGCCTACAATTAAACTGCTGTAATAATGTTAATAATCATTACCATTACACCATAAACGACTTAATATTTTTTGGAAACCCCCAAATTGTAAATATATGAGACTCATTATATGATACTATATATATATATCACTTATTTACCTTGAAATTAACTCCAGGGTTGAGTTAGGTTCAGTTATACCGACGATCCGAAGGGGATATATGCTACCATATAATGGAAAAACTCGAGGCTTCAAACCACTTGGGAACTAAAAGGTTTAATATATATCATATTAAGCTAAATGTTATTCGTTTACTGCTAATATTCAAGTACAATTAATTTACAATTAATTGATAATTCTATTATTTTCTTTACTTTGTTATGGTTTTTAAGGAGTTTTCGTGTACACATAGGAACAAAGTATTAAATATTAACTGAACTGAGTTACAGATGTAATATTCATTATGGTATTATATTTCATTTTAATAGTGCCTTTATTATAGGTGTCCATTTAATATGTATGTTTTTTGTTATGCAAGTAAACCTACTTTAAATGCTTCATTATTTTGAACAATTTATTAGTATCCATTAGTTCTGGTATATATTAAGAGAGCTTTGAGGTTCAGTTATTGGTTTGTTTGTTAGCAATTATGATAATACTTAATTTTAATCGTGTCTTAATCATAAATTTCTATTTATGAGTAATGTTTTATATAACATAATAGAAGTAAAACTACTTTTAAAGCTGCAGTGTCTTAAACTATTGACTACTATAGAAAAAGTACAATGGCGTTCCCATCCATCCCCACTTCATTCTTATTAGTAAACAGTATTCTTCCCTCTCACATACTTATTACTAAACAATATCGTTCCCCCTCATTTACATATGTCCAAACCTATGCATACGTCTTTGTAACTCCTTTCATGTTATTAATTTTATAAATCTCTGTAGCCTACAACAGCAACAACAAGCTCCATGGCATATGTTAATGGTAGTTTGCGGTGTTTTATAGGTTTATGCAGTTATCTGAATAATATTACTTCATAAGTATTATCACATAAAGCTCTATCTTCTACATTTTTTTTTGGATAATTTTGGATAATTCAGTATTACTTTTGTTTCAATTATTAAGTGTTATCTCTCCAACACGTAAGACAGTCATATGTGTCTGACTGATTCCCTGCTATGCAGTAATTATACGCTTAGTAAAGATCCATTGGGTATTTCTACAGCCACTATCTGTAACTTGTGTAAGTACTGAGTGTAATATTGGTGAAATTAAACATCATGAAATACGGGATTTGAAATTAAAAGTAGAACTTTATTATATATTTAATATTAATAAAAATAAATTAAAGGGATTTATAATTAAATGTAGAATTTTATTATTTTTTTTATTATTAATAACAACAAATTGTTTTTTTTGGGTTTTTTTTCATAAAGCGTCTTTAAGGGATATTCATAGACTTTAAATAACATTATTTCAGTCCTCATTTCATGAGCAATGCAAGTAATCGAAAGTTAAAAGGTTTTTGTATACATATTTATATGTATAACATTTAGTTATTTATATATTAAACTGTTTATGGTTGAATTAAACATTTCTATTTTCTATGATTTACGTCATTATATGTATTTCATTTTAAGTTCACATAGTAGGTAAAATGTTGATATTTATAATACTCACATTCGTTTCATTATAAAATATGTATATAGATGTATATATGCTTTTAATTAGGAATTCATTACTACGTACAAATATACTTTTGTAACTTATGTATAATGTAATATAATATGCTTCTAATAATGATTCTGATGTCGGCTCCATTAGTGCAGTACAAAGTAAGTTAAACCAAATACAAGTAAAAAGTTTCTTGCTCTAAAAGGCTTTTGGTTTTAAATTACATATTTTTCATTTAATTATTTATTCTAATTTTAACATGTGTACATACATACACTACTTACTTCAGATCCGAATTCATTTGCTTGCATCTGTGAAATTGTCTTAATTAATTTACGTCTGAGCTTTACTTCGTCTGAAAATGAAGTGTCAAATTAAAATTTGTCAAAGGTTAATTCCAAGCGACTTCTACTTTGTGGGTGCTAACTTAATTGAGTTTTGTATTAAAATTAATTTCATTTAACATTTATTTACTAGTGTTAAATTTAAATTTTTTTGAGTATAAATTAATTATCCAAATATGTAGATATGTAGAGTTAATGGTATAACCTTGTCCTCACTCAATAAATATTCGAAATCATTAATTATTATTAAAAATATTTAATTTAAGAGGTTATTAAATACATGATATTAGTTTGATATTATTGTTAGAATCATGATAAATATAAATAAGTATATGGATTTATTTAAGTGGTAATGATCGGAGAAAAATAAGTACAATATCATAAATACATAGGTACTTCTTACGTACACAGTGTATATAAATTTCATATATTAACATGTATTATATTTATAGATTATATACACATATTATTTATATAGTATATTAATTTTTTCAAAATATTTATTTATTTATTTGTGAGGTAACACTAGAATTAATTTTAAAGTTAATTAAGAATAAAGAACTGGACTACTAACTAGGTCTTTTGTCCTAGTTTTTTAAAATATATATGTTATTACTAAGATATGTTAAATATATGTAGTTATATTATATTTGCAGAAATACTTATATGTTTGATCAAGATAATTATATAAATCAGTTGAATTATGTTCATATGACTATCTGCCCGATTGTTTGCCATCGAAGCAGTTCCTAAAATTATGGATGTCTATATCATATAACGCTGATATAAAGCAACTATGAATTTACGTGAAAAATAGACCACATATTTTCTTTAGTAATGATTTATATTTTATAATTAATTTATTTTTTATACATAACTGCCATAGCACTATTAATCTATTGATTATTTAAACTTATATGATTTAATAATTTTTATTAAAATATACATTTCTTAAGATAAATAAATATTAAACAAACTACAATTTAAGTTCATAATTATCTTAATCCCAAAAAAGTGTTCAATATATTTTTTTTTTTATACAACATAAATAAGAATTTTTTTTAAACTTCTCTACCACAAATCTAAATTGAAAGTTAATAAATTTTGTGTTCATTTTGTTGCAGATCTGGTGACATGATTGTTGTAACCACTGAATCTGAGTTAACTGACAGTAGTATATCACCGTACTATTGGACACCAGCTGCTATAATTTCCTGCGTAATGGCATTGTACACATTAATTTATGCCTCAATATTTACCGATGGGTTTGAAGTCACTTGCAAACAGTACCGAGAAGGACTGCTCAAGGAGATACAAGGTGTTGGCAATATTGTGCCAGTCATAAAAGGACGTTTATCTTGCGCAGCCATATTTGATTTTATGGACTATCTTGTGGAGAGCATGTCCTATGAACGTCGCAAATATGGACGCATCAATAGTGCCATTTGTTTTCATTTAACATTGATTTGTGCCTGGTTAGCTTGTCTATCCTGGATTGTAATTACAGTAGTGAATATCGTACAGACAAGGCGTACGCGTGCCGCAAGGGTTTGAAACAAATGGAAAATATTTAAAATTGGTTATTCCTGCTTGCTTTGCCATGTACACTTAGCATATAGTAAAAAGTATATACGTATGTATACATATATTTTAACTAAAAGTTTTATAAATGCTCGTACATACTGTATTTTAAATATATAAATTTAATTAATTTTTTGCATGAACATTAGTTTTTAGAATTTGACTTCATTCCACGTACAAATTTATTATATACGTTTTTTTTTATTTATGTATGTATAAGATATATGCTTGCATATCTTTTGATGTAATTACAACGAAATATTATGTATAAGATAATATATATATATATAAAATTATTTTTTTTCAAAATATATTTTTTTAATATAATAATAATAATAAATGTATCTTTTAAGTTTGTAAATTCTGTTAAATTTATTGTATTAGAAATATTTTGTCAAACTGTGCGCATCCTTACATTCTGTTTCCTTTTGCTCAATTAAATATGAAAAGCATTGACGGTGCTTTTTGTCAGCAGTTATAAGGACACCAGTACTGAGGCACTTTGAGATACGAAAGAAAAAACTCTTATACCGCAATCCCACACATTCACCCAAATTCCAAGGCAACATATTTAAGAGCAGCCACCGACTGAGCCAAGCGTTACATTCTTAAAAGTCATAAATCATTGCCGTTTAATTAAACTGAACTCAGCATGACATTTGTGTAAACTTTTCAATTCCCAACCACCTTGACTTTAATGTTCTACGTTATGGTGTGCCTTTGCAGGCTCCACTGGAGTAGGTCTACTATCGCTTCTTTTTTTTTATGTGACACATTACAACAACCCACTAATCCTTAATATTTTATTTTTTTCTTGCAATTTCATACGACATTTAATAATGGTTACACGCGTGGATATAAGTCACTCTCTCAACTAGATAGAAGGTCACAGTATTACAGATATGACCCAATGTGACAATAAATTTCAATTTTTATTTATTAAAGACTTTGGTGCCCGCAATTTTGAACCAATGACGTTAATTAATAGAACTGTGAAGAAAAAGAAAAATAATATTACATATAGATTTAATTATATTAAATATAATTAAAAAATAAGTATTTTAATTATAATATAATATTCAAATTTAATTGTGTTTAATATTATATATAACACATAATATTTTATATAAAATATTATTAAAAACGTAATAATCATTCTTAATTATATACAGTATGGTTTCCAATTATAATAAAACTAAAAACGAATTTTTGAAATTATAATACTCGTATAATATATTACATATATCTAATTATATTTAATATTATATTTATCTTCACAATACAATAAATGTATTTTAATTTATTGGGCCATAACAACCTGTTACCAAGTTTCGGCCTGACGCGGTATATCTCACCAGGTGTCTCTGCTGCATAAGCGCCTTCTACAGTCTCCTGTTCTGCATCAAGTCCGGTTAAGGCTAATTCAATTTGATCACTCCACCGGAGACACGGTTTATATTTGATATTAAATATAATTAATACATAATTGTATGTTCTATAATAGATCTTTGCGTTTCTTTAATATGAGAACTATTAGTATTAATATTTATAAAGAATAAACTAACAGATTTGTAAAGCTAATTAATATTAATTAATAAAAATGTATAATTTTTTTTTATCATAATAAATAATAAAATATAATAATAAAAGAAAGAAAATATGAATTTATAGGTTTAGATGCCGAATCTCAACTATATTTGAGATGTTCAGCATTTGATTTTACAGATATCTGTTTGTAACTCTGTGTGTATATACTTACTGTTCTTGTAGTTGTACTTATGAGTGTTCTGCGATTACATGAGTGTTCTATCCATATTAGTTTCTAGTAAAAATTTAGATAAATATGACACATCAAGCACCATACTCATCTGATATGGCTCTGTGTGACTTCTTCTTCGAGAAAAACGCTTCGAGAAAACCAATTGCAGCCATATAAAAGTCTCTCAGGAGCTTGGAGGCCCTGTCTTGGAGTATTTAAACATTTTTTAAAACCTCATATTTATATCGCAAAAATATATCGCTTTAGATTTCATTGAAACATAGAACTTCATTTTAAATACTTTGTAATTAATATATTATTTCAATAATTTTTATCAATTATAAGTACATACGGGTATTTACATTTTTTGGATTTTCGGTGATATAGCCATCGTTGGCAATTATAAAGCCATTAAGCTAGTCATAATAGGTGTGCAAGGAACTCATTCAGCAGATTTTAAAGATCTTGACATACCGCTAGCATGATTCAAAAAGATGCTACAACCTTCTTGTCTTAAGTAGTTTAATATTAGATGGGAAGATTCAACGATATACAAGTATCTATATCCCGAGTTAACGATATTATAGCAATCTTATTAGGATGCTTCATACTATTGTTATTCAACAATTCTTCTAAATCTGACTCTATTTGGTGTTTATCTGTAGATGTCGTTCCATGTATACCGCGCTTCAGCTAACTCACTTTCGATCGTTCTTCTCCACGACCAGGTCTATTGCTACCTTGTAGGTTCCATGCCAACGCTTGTCTCGCTATATAATCTCGGTTGTTATGCATATGGCCTATCCACTTATACTATCTCATTTTTATCTCATTGTGTACTGCTTTTTGAGTGCTTTAATTCAGTAGGCGTCCATTTGATATTCGAAATATGCTTCATAAAGTATGGATTTTATATGAACTTGTCGAGTTACATATTTATAGAGTTTAGCGTAATAGCCTAAACTTACCAATACATATTAAAAAAATGACTGTAATGGGTTTTACAATGGCCTTTCTTTATAGATATGCTCTATATCATTCTTATAGTAAATTTACTGCTGGTCCCTGTCAATGATTTATACCGCAACTGTGACGACAAAAAAGTGTTTTAAGACTCCATTGCGAATGCCAAGCGTGTAATGAGGATTACAATATAAAATGACTTACTTTCTGGAAGATTTTAGTCAACTACAAGGCCATTCTTAAGTGTCTGAATGATAATTAAAGGTTTTATATGGTTATAAATTCTCTGAATGAGTACATAAGATAGCCATCTCATTATAACCTTAACTAATACATGTGTACGTATTGTTCGTTAGTATCTTTTGTATTTTTATTCTTAAATATTTTAAGTGAATCACAGTTGGTATTTCGCTCTTGATTAATTTTAACTCTAAGTGTTCTCCTTAATTAAGTGATGATTAATATTTAATTTAACAAGAGTCTTATTACAAATATTATTATTTCTTTTCTTCTCCTTTAATATTATCTACTTTTTCTTAATACAATTTTCATTTTAACAATCATTTTCCTCTTGCGTTCATTTTTCATGGTAAAACTCCTAAAAGTATGTTAAACTGTTTCTATGTTGAAGAACAAGAAAAACAAAAACCTTAGGCAAATGCAAATGAGTGAATAATTTTTTAAATTCATTTAAGTTAAAACATTTTTCAGTTGGTGTAATTTTTTAAAATTCATGATTTTCGTAATGAGCACATAATTTTAAATTTATGCAAACGATTGCCGTCAACAATTCACCGAAATGCTGAAATTATCCGGACTTGCTAAGTTGTACCAATTTTTTTTTTCTCATGTCTCGGGGGTGACATTCGGACGGATGCAGTGGTCTACGCGATTGTAAATGTTCATAATTCCTATTAAATTGATTAAGTTACTTGATGGAGCTGTACTCAACAATCAGGGCTAAACAATAATGAAAAGAATAAAATATGCAATTTAATATTTAACTCAAAAACAGATTCATGAAGCTGTTTTCACTCAGTTACTGAAGTTAAGATTGCAAATTGCCTCATTAGAAAGGACCAAGTTGAAATTATTTTAATGTGAACTGTTTAAGAAATGGCAAAGGAAGTGATGGCTTATATTCATACCACACCGAATAGGATACGAAGAGGTACGAGAAGAAGAAAGAAAAAATATAAGCTTTTTTTCCTATTCAACATAAAGAAATCTGTGAGTATTACTAAATTATTCCATAAATTTTTTTATTTTAGTTGATGGACAGCATTAATAAAATAAAATTAATTAAATTATTAGTATCAGGTTTACATAGCTTATATAGTAATGAACATTAAATCAGGGTATAGACTAATATATACTTTTATTATAAGTCACTTCTAGATACATAGTTCAAAATATTACAGTAAGTCTGATAATGGTTTATATAAAATTTTATCTTTTCATCTTTAGGTTTTTATTTTAAAGCATCTTTGGTCTCTGTAGATTGCCCGTCCGATTATCCGTCCATAATAATCATGGTTGGCTGATTTTAGAAGCAGCAGATCTTCCTCTACTATTTAAATTGGATATGAGATTCTTAGTTTTAATATTGATAACATTAAAACTACTCTCAGATGTTAGTATAGGATTATTTTTGGAAGATCTATATACGATAAACTACCAGCATTATTTTATAATGATATAAAGTGCAAAATTATTGTTTTCGTTATTGTTATTATGTAAAGAGAAGACAATATGAATTGATAGAATAGAGATGAAGGTTCTAGGAGGAGGTTCTAGAAGATCTATGTAATATAAACTACCAGCATTATTTTATAATGATATAAAGTGCAAAATTACTGTTTTCGTTATTGTTATTATGTAAAAATAAGACAATATGAATTAATAGAATAGAGATGAAGGTTTTAGGAGAAGGTTCTAGAAGATTTATATACGATAAACTACCAGCATTATTTTATAATGATATAAAGTGCAAAGTTATTGTTTTCGTTATTGTTATTATGTAAAGAGAAGACAATATGAATTGATAGAATAGAGATGAAGGTTCTAGGAGGAGGTTCTAGAAGATCTATGTAATATAAACTACCAGCATTATTTTATAATGATATAAAGTGCAAAATTACTGTTTTCGTTATTGTTATTATGTAAAAATAAGACAATATGAATTAATAGAATAGAGATGAAGGTTTTAGGAGAAGGTTCTAGAAGATTTATATACGATAAACTACCAGCATTATTTTATAATGATATAAAGTGCAAAGTTATTGTTTTCGTTATTGTTATTATGTAAAGAGAAGACAATAGGAATTGATAGAATAGAGATGATGGTTTTAGGAGAAGGTTCTAGAAAATCTATATACGATAAACCGACAGTATTATTTTATAATGATATAAAGTGCAAAATTACTGTTTTCGTTATTGTTATGTAAAAAGAGGACAATATGAATTAATAGAATAGAGATGAGGGTTCTATGAGGGATTGAATCCACCAGGTTTCCATTTTAACAATTGCTGTTACGAGTATATATTATATAAATATACATAAATATGCATTATAAATATATATACATTCTAATGTATATAATAGAGAATGATAAAAGAAGGTGAGTTTAAGTGAAGATCGTAGATAATCAAGGCAGTATAAGATGAGAAATATAATTTTTTTGGTTATGAGATAGCATTACATGGATGCAAATCAAATTTTTTTTCATCAATACTTTGTTGTCTTACAAAGTATCTTTACTATTTACCTCTAACAACTTTTTTTAAAACAACTAACTACTAATTAAATAGCTTGATTAAAGACAATCAAAACATAGACAATGGACTGAAACTGTCTCTATAATATTGGACAGAAATCGACTCAGAAGCTGATCATATATTGCAAACTATAAATTACAAGTCGTTGCCATATGCATAACGTATGGTATTATTTGATGCGGGAAGTAAAGCTGTTTCATAGATTTTGAAATTGATTGAGAGGTTTTCTAAAAATGAGATTCCATTGTGTGCAATAATTTCCTGTACAAAAAAAGAGTAGTCTAGTATTGAAGTCTAATCAGCCAAGCGGTCATCCAAATATATATAATATAAACAATATATTGTATTGTAACTATTGCTTTTTAATGTAGAGTGAATATTGGAGCTTTGTTGCAGTCAAAGGCTATATATATTCTTTAAGTAGTTCGATCAATAAATTCTATTAATAATGTTTTATATTCTATAGTTCATCGTTTAATAATACACTTGTATAAGAAAACAAACACTTGATGACACTATGAATAGCTATTGTCCTATAAGAAAAACTAAAAAAAAAAATTATGTATTAAAAAATTATAATTTCCTTTGCTCCAGTAACGAGCCAATAAAAGATGCATACCTACCTAATCATAGTGAATCGGCTTACATCATTATAAACCCTATCATTATGATTACAATTATTATTATTAAATGCTTGTGTATCGATATTCAAAAGGCAATTATTTCAGTTTTGCAATACCCGAAACTTATCAATTGACTGCCAACCGTACATGTCATTCTGGCTAAATTCATTACCCGAATTATGGGGATTGTATCATTTATGCCCCCAGATTTCGCATCAATTTAGTCCAAATTTGTTTCAATTTAAATGGAACAATAAATTTGATTGTTTTATTCAGTAAATAATAATAGTCGCAATTAATATGCAAACTCAGTATTGTGTATCTAGATGTGTGCATGAGTAGATACATTCCAGTAGTGCAAATATTGGTCCATATGTTTAGTGGATTGTGAATTTAATGTAATATTAACGTCAATTTTCAACAGAATTTCTATTTACTTTAAAGCAAATGAAAAGCCTTTGATTTGTTTGAAATATGCGTTGTAGTTGATAGGAACCTGCATTTGCCTCTGCCCTGTAACGCTGTGAAATTTATTTGAGTTGTAAATTAATCTGTTTGCATTATGAGTAACATGATTTGAAGGCTTTAATAAATAATTTGATTTAATGTAGATAACAGCATATTTATTTATATAATAATATGCGAAATTCACTCTTATTATGGATAGCTATCAGTGACGTGATGTTAAATACTTATTTTTTGAAGTTATATCAATAAATTTGTTTGACAAGTACATTAGACATTATTTAATATAAATGTTTTCTTTTCAATAATGACATGTATTTTTAATATATATTAAATCGAAAAAAGCCAAACCAGTATCAAATTTATATTGTGCATTTTAATTATAAGTGTTTAGTACCCACAAAATATATAAGGTTGTACTAAGATCTTTAGTTGAGATATTGTCATGACCTTATATTAGGCTTGCATAAGTAAGTAAGTAAGTTACATTAGTACTGTGATCCAAATACAAGATGAAACTTGAAATTTGAGAGATTTTCGATTCTGGAGTCTCTATCTCACTATCACTGTCACTATTTGTGTGAATACCTTTATCTTTCCAATAGTTATACATGCGTTAGAATAATATTTTGATTTCTTTAACTATAAAGATTTCTATAACAAAAATTTTGAGAATATTACGAAAAGATTTTGATGACATAATAATTTGACAAAAGAAAATTTTTAAAATTTTGACAAGAGATAAAAAAATTTAAAGAGGGCATACAAACTGTTAACGGTTAAAATCGCTCTGTATGGTCATCAACATTAATTAATGGCTAACACGTATAAGATCTCATAGATTTGGTGCTCAGAAATTATGGATTGACAATTTGAGATCTCGCTGTGTAAACATTTGGAACAATCTAAATTATTTTGAAATAAGTTTTGTGGCTGAACAGAATCTATTGTTACTTTTGAATTTCACATATTTGAATTTATTCCTGATACCATATTTCTTCTTGTCTTCTTCTTCATTTTTCTTCTCGTATTAAGCTTTCTACAATAGAATGTAATGTCGATTGATGCCAAAATCATTCAGTTTTTTAAAACAAGTGTCGCGTTTTCTGTCAAATAATGATTTCTGACTAACAGGATAAGAAGAAATACATTATAATTAGAGCTGAAAATAAGCGACTAATCGAATGAATACCGCCAAGGAGATAACCTAAGTTTAAAAATAAGAACAATGATAATTATTTTTTTATATTATCGTGATGTGGTGCATTAAGAATATATTCCGTCAGTCCAAATTGATAACAAATATTTTTTTGAAATTGTGTAGATAATGTAAATAATGCTGTAATGCTGTAAATAAAAGCAGATAGTTGTTTGTTTTTATTTTTTTCAATACTGCATTGTTACTTCAAAATTATTTTGTCAAAAATTTGATGCCTCTCCACATCAGCTGTCTGGCTTAATCCTGAAACTACTTAGAGGATACTGTTTTGACATGATTGAGGATATAAAAAGGAAAATAAGATCATTTCAGAAATGAATGGAAAAAAATGAAATTTTGTCATCAAACGTTAGTCTTGACAACCCAAATATTGATTACGTTTTCATTAAAACCTAATGCGTTGCCTAAATTTAGTAACATTCTTCAGGTGCAGATATGAAACGAAATTTACTCTGCTTAATATGATAAATAAAAATGAGAGTTAATTAAGGTAGTGGTTACTATATGTATTTTAATAAAATATTAGTTAATAACTAAAAACTTGAAATATATAGAAAATTGCAAAAAAAAAAGAAAATACGTGTTCCAAAATCGATATATCCATTGTGGAACTATATTCTCTTTGCTTCTCGAATAAAGAAGTATTAATTGTAGAAAAAAATAAATGCTTAATTTCATTAAAAACATGTGTTTAGTTTTACATTAAATATAAATTTATCCAAAAATGTTGAATTTATCAACATTTCAATACTCTACACATATATAGTTATTTATGCATATATATATATAAATTATTCTTTGAGAAGTATATCTAGAAAAATACAATAGAACCATAAATTGTGTAAGTGATATCTGTTACAGATGAATACTTATATCCAATGCATTAGGTACACTTCAATATATTTGTGGAGTCAATAGATATTATGAAAATACAGTGAAAGTTCTGTTGTGGCAAAAGTAGTAGTAAAAATACGAACTTGGCATTACTAATGCCAATTCTTTCGTCATAGCTCGAAAGAGCCAATTCTGCTGTGCCCGTGACACTTTACATAACATGGCCCTTATTAGATGAACATTCTCCTAAATGGATATCTCTCTTAACCATTTAACATTCCCAGTTTTCACTTTTTATGCAAGGTAGGCTATTTGAAATAGACAGTTTTCATAGAAGAATTTCTCTTGTGCTAATCTATTACAATAGTCTCTCTCCTGTTTTACAATCTTAATGTTAAACTTAATATACCTTTTTGACACTAGTGTGAAGGGTATAAAAACGAAAAACTAATTGATTCATCAAAATTTCATTGATTTCCACTGCATATAAAAAAAACTTTAACGCAAATTAAAATAATTATTCTGTTTGCAAATTCCACGGAAAACTCGTAAAACGATAAATAATTTTTACCAATTAATACAAAGGATATAGAAAAACTTCAACAGAATTGGTATAAAAGTTCAATGGTTTCTTAAATTTTTGCGAAAAGTGTTATACCTTTGAAAGAAAAATAGAAAAATACTCTAGAAAACAAGGACCGTGATCTATAAAATGTACAGATGCTATGTACCTTACTTCACAAATGGCATATTGGCACCATTGCCATGGCAAGCGAAATTAATGAAGTTTTGTGGATATTGGCCAATTGCCGATGATGCTACTTGGAGGACTCATGTTATAGTGTATCTTTTAATTATCAATCTCTTCGTTAGTTGGTGTTTTGTTATTGAAGCTGAATGTAACTTTTTTATAAAAAATCATGGCAATTTGAGCTTGCAGTTGGAGTGTATAATCGGAATTTTAACACTGACTGAGATTTTTATGCGGGCTTGTTATGTGACATATTCACGTACACATTTTCGTCAACTTCTGAGTGATTTCTATACAAAAGTCTATATAGAGCAGTATGTACTTATTAAAAGTTTCGTTTTGAAGATAAACATAATATTTACTATTGATTACTTACAGAAATATGGAACCCAACTTATTCAAGAAGATACAACTCTTGCATTTCCCAACTAAATTTTGTGGCGGATTTTATGCTTTAACGGCGATATCATTTTTGTCCGTCCCAATTGTGGGCTTATTCTATGGCCAGCGCTTATTGCCATATAAAATGTTGCCTCATTTCGATTATGAACCATTGCATCTACATTTAATAACGTTATACTTTAGTGCACATTTAATCTTCTGTGTAATTTGTCATATGATATGTGATTATCATATGTTGGCTCTATTTATTCTACATTTGAATGGACAATACCAACGGCTGCAAGATGATTTGGAAAAGCTTTATTTGTTTAAATCTCAAACCAAATCTGAAACTTATTTCTTCCAGTTTCAAAATCGATTAATAGCAATCCTCAGACGAAATCAGGACTTAAATAATTTCGCTGAAAAATTAAAAAATCATTACTCAGTCACAATATTTATTCTGATGGGCTTTAGTGCAATTGTATTATGTGCTTTAGGTTTTACCACAATGACGGTAAGTCAAAACATATTAAAAATATTTTAAAAATATTTGGATATATGCCCATTATTTACTAAATTATTTTATTTCGATTTGGTTAGTGTTTTACGTTAAATCTAAATGTTAGCTTTTGGCTGGGTTAAAAAGTGATAATTGATTTATCATCAAATTTCATTTAATGGCACTATTCGATTATAGTTTCTATTATACATATGATATACTTTAAAATTTATAGTACTTCTATATATAAAGTCAACTTTCAATTGACTATAAATTAGTTTAAAACGGTGATCTAAGAGAGTCACTTTGAACCTATTTGACATAGCTCTACCATATAAAAACTCTAATGGTTTTTAATTATTCGAAACTCCCATAAAGCCGTGGATGTCCTTTAAGCTGAGGTTGTGCAATTGACTAAGTCCTTTAAGAAAGAAAACATCTACCATGTTTATTCGATGTTGCACATGAGCTGTATAGTGACATAGCATATGTGAAGCAATGTTTTCATCGTTCTCACAGCTATGGCAAGAACAGTTTACAGATCATGGTTTATTTGTAGCCCTTTGCTCCTTAGATCCTTGAACCTGCTTTATGCTTTAAACCAACTATCTATATAATTCTAAATTCCAAATTAAATAAAAATGTCAAGTCAAATGATCAAATTATGAAAAATGTAGTCCACTATTCTGATAAGATACTAATCCAGTCATTCTGAGGTTGCCAATGAAAGTAAGGTAAAATGTATATAGTCTATGTATATCAACAGAAAGAACTAACATAACAATGGTAAAATATGGTATCTTAATTGCTTAATTCATCTTACAAATGTGGTATATCCTAGTTAATTATATTATATATTTAACTATTTATTTTTTATTTGTATAATTATTCATTTGTTATTCAATTATGCATTTTCATTCGATAAATAAATTATTATTTTCAAATAAATTAAAATTATTTTATAGCTTGGCATGACCAGAGATAATGTGACATATATCTGTTGGTTACTTGGAAAAGGTATAGAGCTGATCATATTTGGTAAACTTGGGACAACACTGATAAATACGGTACGCAACTACATTATAAATTTTTACTTAAATTAAAGTACTAATAATTCTATTTTTTTATAGACTAATCAAATGGATACGGCTTATTATTTTTGCCATTGGGAAGAAGTTATACTCCTGTCTCCGAATGCTAAGGAAAATGCTGAACTTATGAAATTGATTGCTATTGCCATTAACTTGAATCAGAAACCAATATCTTTAAATGGGTTCTTCTTTACTGTGAGCTTGGAAACTGTTGTAAAGGTTTTTTAATAATTCTTTTTTATTACTATATAAATATTTAACTGCAATAATCTCTCTTAGATCTTCCAGGCGTCTGGCTCTTACTTTACTTGTTTCTATGCCTTACGTTGAATACTGTTTTAAAAATATATTACACTCTTAAAATATATGTATATCACAAGTATATTGTAGTAGTTTGCTTTTTTAGTGACAATATTATTAAAATATATAGAACATTTATGAACGTTAATGTTAATTATATTAGTATGTAGTAGTAATCAATCACCTTCACAAAATGTTTATTAATAATATTGTATAATGTTAAATTAAAAGCGAAATAAATGAATGTCTTAAGTTAAATTTGATGGAATCAGCATTTTTGTTTAGTTTAGGAATTCGAATTAATTTTTTTATTTACTTAGTGATTGGTTTGAACATATCTGACATATAGGTTAGAGTAGAAGAAACTGTATGTCAGACTTCAGGTTCACTGCCTATATATCCGCTAATGTTATTATTATACATTTATCTTCCTTTTGATTATGAATATGTGTTGATATGTAAAGAAGGTTTAGCGGTTCACATATTCCTATATCAAGATCTAATCATTTCGCTTTAACAACTTACTAGACTTTTAAATATATGTGGAGGTTATAATATCATACATTGAAAAATAAATGTTTCAAAAATATTGTATTATTTTTGCCTAATATGCTAATATCGCGTTATAAAGTTTTTCCGCCTATAATATATGTTTTTATAACTTTATGGATTATTTAAAACTAATTAATGAAGAAAATTTCTGTATTAAGTGCATTACAACTGTGTATTGGACCTATCTAATACAGCTGTGTACTATAGCCACGAACTCCAATATACTGTATTCACTCCACCATTCCTATTCGGATTTAAATCTGGTTGGTTGGAGTTGGTTGCAGTGGCAGGCCATTAGATAACTTCCATGTACCTCAATTAGCGATTTTTCGCCGTTTTGCTGCCACATTCCTCGCAAGAACCCCTAATATAGAAGAGTAGAGACTAAATCCATCTCGCCGAATTTAGGCAATTTAATAGATCTTTCATCTTCACTGTTGAGTAGTCTGATAGACTACCAAAGAAGTATTTTCCTAAGAACCTATATCTTCTGGATGGTAAAGCTAGGCATTCACAGAGAAAATGTATTATTGTTTCTTTCTCCTGCGGGTTTTCACAACTTCTACGGTGAAGGTTATGGGGGACGCGCAGTTTCTCTGCGTGAGTTCCTACTGCAGTAAGCCTTGCAGTGTTCACGCGAGCTTTTTTGATGAGTTCCGAGAATTTATTTTTATTGTGGGTGGGCAATGTTAAATCTGATTAATGATAAAGTTAATCTGATTTAACTTTATGTGTAGCTATGTCTAAGCAGATCAATGTTGATACATACATATGTTAGGTATATAATTTCTATCCTACGTTCATTTCACGTGAAATATCGCATATGTTCTATGGAAATAATTACTAAATTAACTGATCAAATATGCCTTCAATTCAGTCTTTAAAATAAATAAATTTTTATGTGTGAAACTAATTGATTAGTGAAAATTTTATTACTTTTCCCTTTGTCTAAAATTGCTTAGGAACGCAAAATATTCCCCCTTGTACGCAAAGAAACAATGGCCAACTTTTCCAGCGTGTAAGCCAATTCACATGGCAGCAATTAAGTTGTTTGCAAACTTTTGTGGTTAATTGTTAAATGGCATAATTTTTTTCCATCTAACCAATCAAGTGCACTCCGGCTTCATCCGAGATGTTATAAAAGTTGCATGTTGGTCCGATTTTCTACTGGATATATTTCAATTTTGCTCGATGCATGAACTTGCATTTCTGCTAGCAGGAAAAGGGTTTATTTGTGGAGAAAAAACAAGCACCAACCTTAACCATGTACAAATACTATCATCCTTGCTTATCAAGTGGTAAATTGGCAGTGTTGCCATGGCAGGCGAAACTGCTACTATTTTGTGGAAATTGGCCAATTGCTGCGGATGCTACATGGCGGACTCTTATTTTCGTAAATCTGTTAATTATCAACAACATTGTGACCGGTTGCTTTATTGGCGAAACAGAGCTAAATTTCATTTTCCAGAATCGCGGGGATATCAGCTTACAACTGGAGAGTGCAACAACCTTTCTAATACTGGTTGAGACTTATTTGCGTATGTATTACTTAGCATATACACGTAATCACTTTCGTGAAGTATTGACCGATTTCTATAGGACCATCTATGTAGAGAAGTATGAACTTTAATTCAATTTAAATGTTATTTACTTTTAAGCATATATAATTTTTTTTATTTCTTACTATTTATAGAGCTGTGAATCCAATATTATACCAAGAAATACAACGTAGGCGAATACCAACACAAGTTAGCACAAGTTTTTATTTTCTTACGATGTTATCATTCACAGCTGTACCTTTCGTTGGCTTATTATCTGGACAGCATTTATTGCCATACAAAATGTTGCCCCATTTTGACTACACTCAATGGAATCTATACCTACTCTGTCTATATTTTACCACACATGTAGCGTTTTGTGTTATTTTTCAACTTGTGAGTGAATCCAATATTTTGGCTTTATTAATTTTAAATCTAAACGGACAGTATATGTTGCTACAAGCGAAGTTGGAGACGCTCTATTTGGAACTCGAATATCGAACTAATTTCGAAATTGCTATATATGAATTTCGAAATGGATTAAGAGATATAATCAAACGAAATCAAGAGCTTAATCATTTTGCTGTTAAATTGCAACAACAGTACACAATACCAATATTTATCATGATGGGTTTTAGTGCCGTCATATTATGTACTTTAGTTTTTATGGCAGCGACGGTAAGTTTTTCTATTTCTAGTAAGTAGTAGTAAATTCTAGTAATAATTGTGAAATGTAGTCTTAAAAAGGCTTATTAATCATTTCAAAACCCAATATTATCATATTATAAAGGTTTAATATAATAATATTATTTTAGGACTTTTTACCTTATCTTGGTGTGTGCGTTGGTTTTCTGATATTTTAAGTTCTTTAAAAATTACTGTTTTATTTTCATATAAAACAATTGAAAATCGCATTAAGGCAATAAAATCTTTCCAATCCTTCAAAATCAGTTTCATCTGGGTTCCCGAATATAGGAACATTGAAGAGAATGAAAAAGCAGACGGTTTGGCTCCTCTTCGTGATTCTATGCATTCTTAAGAGTTTTGGTTTATGTTCCCCTGAAGATCTTTAAGAGAAGTACTCCTCTCTACTTTATTTAACTTACCAATAATAAGTGGAAGGCATTCACGTTATGTGTTACTTCCTGGTTAACATGCCCTTCATATAATAAGACAGGATCTTGGGTGCTCAATTTGTGCCTAAGATTTTTATATAATTGTTTCGGTTATTCGGAAGATTGCAATACTGTCTGTGAATACAATAATGACTTGGTGACAATAGCAACTCCACTTAAAGTACCAGACTCTCGGATTGCTTCTTACAACATCAACTAGTGAAGAGTAGGCAAGCCACATCGTCTTCTGATTGGCATTTCTCGATTGTTTCTAAGTTTACAAAAACCATATGATACGTACAACAGAACACTAAGATCTTGGAAACTTATAACAGAACACCATATGTGTAAGAAGAGACAGGCCAGAATATTTATTGGTTACTTTTTTTGCGTTATTTAAATACAATAAATGTAATTATAGCTTATGTACATGAGAACACTGTTTTATACATCATATCTACGATTACGCGCGAATTTAATCTAACCCAAAAATAATTATCATTTTCAAATCGTATTATGTAAAGCTGTAATGGTTATTATAATTATATATGATTTTATTTTATTATTTTTATTTTTTTAATTTTTTAATTTTATTTAATATTAAAATATTCTTTCATAACATAAGTTATAATTCATTTGAAGCATATATGTTCTCTTATATATGAGTACAATATATTATTTTTATATTATATTTTGCATATAAGCAATTTTATGTTATAATATAATAAATCTATTATTTATATAAAGTATTATAATTATGGTTCTTTATTTTTTATAGATCGGTATGAGTACAAAAAATATATCATATATAAGTTGGATAATTGCGAAAGTTATAGAACTTATTATATTTGGTCAACTTGGCTCTACGCTCTTACATACGGCAAATATTTTTAGTAATAATTTTTTATCAAATAAAATTAATTCATATTTTCTGTAGACTAACCAAATGGCTACGGCCTATTATACTTGCAATTGGGAAGAAGTTATATTCCGATCTACTAATGCTAATGAAAATATAAAGCTTATGAAACTGATTGCTATTGCCATTAATTTGAATCAGAGACCAATATCTTTAAATGGCTTATTCTTCGAAGTCAGCTTAGAAACTGTTGTAAAGGTTTCGTATTACTATTTCTTATTATGTAGACATTTAGTTATAATGATCATCTCCATTAGATTCTACGAGCTTCCGCCTCTTATTTTACTTGCTTGTATGCTGTACGTTGAGTCCTGATGGGATGAGCTGATGAGGGTTGGGTGTCATATATCATATATATTGTATATCGTTGTAGTGAGCTTAATGAATATATATTGCATTTTATTATGTAAAATTATAAAGAAATTCAAAAATGTTATAATTTATTTGATTAGCAAATAATTTTAATAATTTGCACTGATCGTTTGTAATTAATAAAACGGTACTAAATGCAAAATGAATGGAGTTTCTTTTATAATAATTAGTAATAAATAATTAAGCAGTCAAAATACTAATATTTTAATTAGATCCTTTTTGTATTAGATAATTCTTTAATATCAATTAAGTAATTTATTGGAGTTAGATCTGATTTTTAAGTTTCATGCAACGTATTCTTAATATGAAATAAATTAAAAATCTTTAATGTTTTTGGAAAACATGGCATAGTTTAATTTTATTAAGATAGACTTTGACAATATAGGTATAATTTTGTTGTCAATAAATATGTGTAAACTACGATGGTGTGAACACGTTAAAATTAAACGTAATCAAGTGAATCTAAAATCCAATTCATTAAAATAGTTGTTTAGTAAACATACGCATATAGCAGTGGAAAACAAAATTATGATTTACAAGTAGGTACTGAGAGCTGTTTGGACATATGGATTACAACTATAGGGTTGTACATCTGTCTCAAATAGTGAATTAATCCAACGCTAAGCAACAAAATGCTTAGAGTCTTTACCAAGGTGCATTGGTATACCCGCAACACTGACCCACATACCAATGGTCGTGATTTAAACATGTCAACGGTCGCAGTTCTAATTAAATATTACGCTGAAGCACATATACCTACAATGACTTCAATACCATTTTAACACAGAAGCATTATCCCTTCTTAATACAAAAGGACTAATATGACGGCTTAAAGGAACTAAGCCGTTTGATTAGTTATCCTAATACATTAATCATTATAAGTAAGATATTTTATTATAAGTATTTACATTAAAGTTGAGTATTATAAGTTCCCGCCATATCAATATTTCTAATTAAGTAGACTAGGTGCAATTTCAATAAAAAAAATAAATAAGAGATATAAAAGAGTTGTAATTTCAAATTTTACCTGACATAGAGGGTCTTTAACAAAATGTTGACAACAAAAAAAGTATAGGTAAAAACGTCTAATTTTTCGAAATGACTTAATAATTTAATATTCCATATTATAGTACTTCAGATTTTATTGTATTGTTTGGATACTTTGGAAATATTTTTGGTTCGTAAATTTGATCTTTTTGCGGAAAATCTGTTCACACAGCAAATCTTAATTTCGTCTTGGTTTTCATATTTGTTTTTTAGTTGCATTTGTAAATGTAAATACCGAACGTTACAACAACATTTTAGGTCTGTTCTACGAGCTAATCGTAGTAAAATTCAGGTAAAGTACAAACTGAGAGCGTAACACAAAAAAGTGCCTAATTACGCTCCTTACACAGATTTTCAGGGATCCGTTTTGTATTTAATCTGGTGAAAATACCAGAGCCGCGCAAATAAACAATACAAAATTTAAACCAAAACAGCTGATTCACAATCAGCAGAAATTTTTTTTGAAATGAAATGTACGAGTAAAGTCTGTGAAGCATTTTCAAATTTCGACAGGGATGTTATGCTCTCTCAGATGGAATGCACTTGTGTACATATAGTGTTACTCCAAGTTATTGCAAGTAGCTCGTGGAACAGGCTTTTTATTTTATTTTATGTATGAAAACTATTTACAATAATGATAAATAATTGAACGATTGTGAATTTCGAATTTTATGTCAACCTGATATTTTACAAATTCTGATTTAGAATTTTTGTGGGGTTTCTAATTGTGATTTCAATATGATTCTGAATGACAAATAAAACCATATTAACAATTATTTACCACTTAAATCATTTTTTATAAGTTACATTGTTTACATTTACCTTTATTACATTGTGAACTCACAAAATATAAATTTTTAATAGATTTAAAAAAAATTATTAAAATTTTTATAATTATGATAAAAGTTGTTTACTTTTAATCAAAATTTACAATTTTTTATAGAACAATATTGAAAGATTTGAAAGTATGTGAGTTCACAATGTGACAAAAAATGATAAAAAATATTTTTAGTAGAATAATTTTGTATCTTTTACCTTTTTTAAAAAGCCCGAGTAATTGCTATAAATATTTTTTTTTGTGTGATTAAAAAATTTTAATTTTTGTTTTATAATATATTAAACTTGTATTGATTTCTAAAAATTCCGCGTAAATATATAATAAAATATTTTTTAATGGTAAGTTGGTAACACTGCAACATGGTTTGGCGCTAAATCAAACATTTTATAACAGTTTTTTAATAACTAATTAAATTAGGTTTATTAGTCGAGAAAAGTAGGTCTATTTCTTTATTCTGACATTCTTAATTAATGCCAGATTTTTTTTTACCTTTATTTAAGTCAAAGGTTAGTTGAAGATAGATCCGGTTACCTATTTGCATCCGTTTAACATTATTTCGTACCGATTACATAGTCGGTTGTTAATAAAATTATAACAGATATTCTAGTTTTGCTGTCAAAATGGCTGAGTGGTTGGCATTATTTTGTTTTGTGTGGTAAGGCTCACATCAGATTCTGCAAATTTCAGTTGAGAGCGGGCTTTAGCGTAGTATTGTTTGCTGACGTAGGTAAGTAGTGAATTTATTCTTATTTATTTATTAATTTATTATGGATATATTAATATATATATTAAAAAAAAATAAATTTTAGCTCTAAAGGTAATAACTAAAGCCTTGCAAGATATAAGTTCCAAATGAATGTATTTATAATACGTCTATGAATACGAATTTCGCTTGAGCTTTAATATGCTGTATTAGAAATATTTATATTATTTACTGATTAACTAATAATAGAATAAAATACTAATAATTTTTTTTTTTTTTACAGATATTATTTATTATTAACACAATACGACAAGTGTCTCTGTTCAATTTGCAAATTAACTTGCTGAAGTCTACATTCGCCGGTATTCGAGAAGTAAGTGTTTTTGCGATAATATATTAAAATATCAAAATTAAAGGTGGGGAATGAGAGTGAATGAGATAGTTATTTAAAAGAAAATGAAACAGCGAGTGATCGAAGGTGTAGTGAGACAAGCCAAGAAGTTCGGTGAACTTCTTGACTTTTAGTGAACTTGAAATGCATCAAGGCTCGGTAGGACGAATCGTTAGATTTGGCTAAGACATGCGTGTGCAGTTTAAGAAATGCTAGCATGTACTAGGGGATATATAAGGGGAGTGGTTTGGGGTTCAAACCAATATTTCAGACCGTTTTACACTATATATAATATATTTTTTATAATTTTCTATTTTGATATTTATACATTTAAATTTAAAAACAGTTTTCATAAGTCCCTCGTAAAAAGAGTTTCTGTGTACATAAAGAATGTCGTAAAGTATAGATCTATATTACGTATATGAAATAAAAGGATTGGTTAACGCCTTTTTTTTCAAAGCTATAAGCTGACAAAAGTTGGATCAGTGGAGTTTTTGTGCCATAAGCAGTTTCCAACAATTCTGATATAAAAAAAATATAGTAAATAATTACTCAAGGCACGGAAGTATTATGTTTAGATTTGGGTAAAGAAAACGCGAGCTAATACAACATTCAGCATTTTTACTCAGAGAAATGTTTCGCTCATTTCTCTGAAAGGCGAGCTACACTAACCGTAGTTATCTCCGTGTATTATCTTTGTAACTCTATTTGGTGTTTAAGATAAAACTAATTAGTTCCAAGTTCAGTTTTATTAACTATATGCCAATCCAGTAAAGAGACGGGCTCGAAGACATTAAATTCACTATCTTTGTAGTCTTGGACAAAGAGGTATTAAGTGATTACTGGGTCCTATGGTGTCTTCATAATGGTATAATGTCTTCATAATCGGTATAATGACACAGCACCTCACTAGTAGACTATAATGTGCACAAACTGTAGGTTTTTTTAAGTTTAAGTTGCATCAGCGTATAGGGCAATAAGGTGGTGGAAATAATTTGGCGTTTACAAAAAAATTCACACAAAAAAAGTGATAAAAAAATGATAATGCTACTTTAAACGAATCGTCTTAGAAGATTAAGGATATCTATATAGTAATTACTCGTTGAAATTTTAAACTTAATATATATAAACATTTATTTTAATTTAATTCACTATATTTATTAAATCTTGGTATAAAATTCATTTTTTATTTATTAAATTTTCCAGCATTAAAAACAGCAGCTGTGACAATGAATCCACCAAATGAATCACGTAAACAGGAGGAGCAAAGTGCTAGTGGTAATTTGTGTAAGGAATCAGAAGAATTACCACCTTTAGCAATATTCCATCATCCATTTAAGCCGTCAGTAATGGCGCCTGACTTTGCCATGATGCATTCGGAAAGATCAACTAAGAATTCTGTTGTATCTCAGCTCTTAGAGGGAATGATGAAATGTCAAATTCAAGACGTAAAGTCTGAGAATAAGAAAGTTATTTCAAATGTTGAAGATTTACCACCTCCACTACCTCCACTACCGGAAAAACGGACTGTTTCAGGATCCTCAATGGTTAATGACGATTCTTCGCATCCGACTGTAACAATAGATGGTAGTGGTGAAATAAGTAATATACCACCAAATGTTTTAACCGATTCATATGGTATTCTTGAATTACAAAGATTATTGGAGAAATTTAAGCGCAATCCTGAATCTACCCACCTAGGAATGGGAATCGATTTGACAAAAATCGGTATAGATGTAATGTCTGATAAACCAATTATTGAACATTTTAATATTGATTTAGACAATTTCTTTAATCCTGTAAATACATCACCAAACGAGCAAACGAAATCTTTTAATGAGCCTTTAAATTGTGTTGATGTAAGGAAAATGACTGAGGAGGTTTTGTTTTATAATTTTTGTTCTACCACAGAAGAAAGCGTAAGAGTAATGGTTACAACAGAATTGCTTGATAGAAACTGGCGTTTCCACTGTGTTATCAAATGTTGGCTTCAGTTAATCCCAGGGGAAATTTATGTTTATGATGGACCCACAATTAGTGGTACCTTTAAAGTATTGGATGAATTAGAATATGGAGTTTTGGATAGATATTTTGTGATCAATATAAATGATCTAGGATCGACAGAGCTACTACATTAACCACTAATAAGTAGCTAAACTTAAATTAAGGCATTAATAGACATTTTTGCTAGTCTATCATAAGTATTCAAAATATAAATAATAAGTATGCATACATAAATGCAAACATATAATTTATATATTTCAAAATATTTAAAATTATTGTTAAATTAAATATAAACAAAAATTCTATTGTTTGAAATAAATGCTTTGTTTTTGATATTATATTTAAACTTATTTATTATAAAAAGAATATATGCATATAATATTTCTATTTGAAGAATTGTAATTAATAGAAGTCAGTAATCAATAGAGTTCTAACACAAAAGATATATAATTATCCGATCTTTGAGAGGTTAATTATCTTCTATTAAATTTATAAACTTCACTCTCGAGACGCAACATTGTATTATTATGCTTACTTATTATACTAATAAAAAAAATTTTGTACCCCAAATTAACTTGTATTTAACTGGATTTTTAAGGATATAAAACGGAAAGTTATAATTATATATAAAGATATATGCATAATAAATTTTTCTCTCCTATTAATTGGAGAAGCAGTAGAAGTATATTTACGGGAAATTTTCAAGAAGCTCTGAAAGGTGTCTAAAACTCAACAGTAGTAAATCTTTTCAAACAGATTTCACTAACAAAAAATATATACATATTGCCTATTCTGCATAAATGATTTAGACATACCATACTCAAACACCGCAAAATATCTCAGTATGGCGATAGACATAAAATTAAAAGAAATAAATAAGATTTGAAATACCTAAATATGGACTAGCGTGTCTATAATAAACTCCTTAAACCCGCTTTTAAATGATAGGTAGGGCGAAATTTGTCGAGAATTGACAGCTAGACATCTACTCGGTATCGAACCAGAAAAGGAAAGGAAATTAGTGGATGGAATTGTCAAAGTCATTGTTCAGTTCATACTTGAGCTGAAAAATATACCTAATGAGATTCTCGATAATATAAAAAGGACACTTGTAAAACTAGGAGACAATCAAATACAATAAAACATTTGATTATTGCAACCACAAACACTTTGTTTAATGACTAGTGTTATAGCTCCGGGTTAGAGGAGGTTTAGTTTCGATTAAGTACTTTTTGGGAAGTAGAAGTTCCAAAAAGAGGTTAATCTTTTTCAAGGACATGCAAACACTAAATATTTGTTTACCTTTCTTTGTAAATATATCAAAAACATATGGCAGAAGGACAATTCGTAGGAATTGTTTATGGAGTTCTGGTCAATGGTACCTGACTGAAGAGACTGTTATAGTTAAGTATAATCTTCACATTTTTGTATAGGGATATGGATTAAATATTTATACTATATTAAAATATGAGAAATATATATAGGTATAATAAGATGTGAATAGAGTATACCTGACAAACGCGGATTATATATGAAAGACATAGCCGCAACTAAAAATGTCTTGAAGAATGCTCAGCTCTATAAGTAGAAGCATCATAGGCGAAGACTTATTCACAAAGTGTTGATTCACGAAACAAATTGTTTAGACATCTACTTAGGGTAGATGTTAGTGGATATAGTTGGAGTGAAAGAAGTCCCTCAGTGACTATAAAAAGTGCAGGTTACACTGAACACTGATCGCAATGCCGCGGTTAGTTAGTATTTGAACGTGTTTAACTATAATCACAATTGAATTGCCTGAATATGTATCTGTTGTTGACGAGTTTTTCTCATGAAAAATAGTACTATAACTATAGAGCCCGTTTAACTAGATGCCTGAATACAACTGTTGTTGAAGAGTTTGTTGTTAAGTGTGACACAATTTATATGAGTAGTTTTAAGTCCAAAATCATAGATTATTCTTTATTGAAATTAGATCTACAAAAATATTTCTTCAAGATTTTTTTCATAGAATATATTTGCATGAAACAAAATCCCTACAAATGTTATATTTTATATTAAATAAATTACTTTTAATAAATGAAAAAGTTTGTTGTTCAATTTTCGCATGAGATTAGAATATAATTTATATGCCAGTAACGTAAACCATGTTATTAACTTATCTATAACCGCAAGAGTGCAGAAACGAAAAGGATAATAAAAAATGTTCAACAGAAAATGATAAAATTTATCCACTTTCGATTAGGTTCCTCCAAGCAATTGTGACGCAGTACTGAACTTAGTTTTCTACAGTTCTTACCACATACAGTGGCGTATCCTGGCGTAGTACTCCTTTATGGTATGTGGCATTTCAATGAAAGTTCCACACATTAGTGTGCTTCGCACGTCACTGATTGTTCGTGTCTATTGCAAATATACAATTCCTACAAATTTTGTTCCCCTCACTCTCCCTCTGATATACCAATGTACATGGAACTTGGTAATAAATGAGCATCTTCTTTCGTTTCTTAAGTAGTTTCAGTGTTCGATTGTCTTTGAACGTGTAGGTTTATTTACTTAATCCACGAATGCGTAAGCAAACAGCCTCTGCGAAAGTAGTAGATGATATTCAGTATTAGGAACATTATCCAATCGCTTTATTGTTATGTTTTTATAATTGTTTACAGTTGTGTGCTTAAGTGCGATATCAATACACTGAGAAATATATTTACTAAATAACAGAACTGAGCAGTAGTGGTGAACAATTTTGAAGGCAAGTCATTTTGGTTGAGGATTTTATGAGAAGAAAATAAAATAATTAGTATTTTCTCTTGCAATTAATATTGTAATAAAGAGTTCATTTATTTATTTTGTCTAGAACTTAAGTTTTATGGAATATTGGTTAAGAAGTGCTACTCGTATGGAGTTTGTATATAAAGGTCAGTATGGGTATTGCTTCGAAAATCTGGTGTATAATATATAAAAATAAGTCATAATAAATAAAAGGATTTTATAACAATTTCAAAATTCTAAGTAAAAATATTATCTTTAATTTTAACAACTAATGAGTTTTTTAATTTTTCTTAACAATAACAGATAATTGAACAATAACAAAATTGAAGAAAAGGATAATGAACAAAACAATTAATGAATTTTTATAGTCTAAAATAAACTATATAATATCACCCATATATATATATATATTATTTTGATCTGATAAAATTTATTTGAATTTAATATTATCATGTGTTTATATATTCATATATTTTTTTGATAAGTTACCTCTTGTTTTATTTTCGATAAGTGGGAAGCATCCAAAGCCACAATGTGAGGCTTGAATCCATTAATATCACCTCTCAAGTATGCTAAATGTACAAATTTTAGCCACCGACAGGCTGGCCTACTTAGCACTATCTAATCTCAGAGTAAACACTAATCGCACGGGGCGATATGCAGATCTTAGTTCAATCATTGAATAATCACGAAGATTATGAGGAATACTCAAATTAGTCAGTGAGATGGGCGGGACTCAGCTATCATAGAGTAAAAGTGTCCAGATGCACTAACTCAGAAAAAGCTTAATATAACAAATTTTAGTCATTAAATTGTAAAAAACAAAAACTGAAACCCTTTTATAGCAATCAATGGAAAGACAGATATTAGAATACAGAAGGCTTAGTATTTACACAACGCAAATATATCTAAGCAATAATTGAAAACTAGTGAGGGAAGAAAGAGAAAATGTTAGAGCTAGATAGTAAGTATTGACTAAGAGTAACCTCTGTGCTCTGTCATTTATAGATGTGACTTTAATCTCTACCTGGTGAGTCTATTATGTTTTTTATAAAATTTTTCTACAGCGCTACTCTTCAAGGTAGTGTATTCATGCTAAAAAAAGCTCAATTCCATTTCGATATTTTGCTGATATATTTTTCAGAGCAGACTTAATGTGGACATTTCTTTTTAAAAATCGTCAACAACCTTAATTATTTTTATTACAATGAATATATTTTAGAGAAATGCTCTGTGATAAACTTTTGATCAATTGATTGCATGAGTAATATTTTATTGACAGTTATATAGGTAAGTAACCTTCCCATCCAATGGTATTTTTATTTCATCAAAGTTTCAGAAATCAGTTCGGTATGAGAAGATTCTGGAAATTACACAGTTATGCAGTAAAATGGCGATGCGGAGAGTGACGTTATTGTGAGATAAGTCTAGGGTACTGACTTGTATAATTAAAAAATATTTTCGTCTATATATATTAATGTCTAAACAATATATTTTCTCTCAAAAATTTTAAAATAATTCTGATATTCATTTTTGAATAATAAAAAATCTTTTTAATTTTATTCTAAATTATTGTTTTTAATATTTTTTTGTAAGTGTGTTGCCTGTTGCCTTACATTTCATGTTACTTTGGTGAATTCTTCTATTTTTCCGTATTACATTCATTGTTTAACTTTCATTAGATAAATACGTGCCTAGAATTCCCAAATATCACAGGAAAGATGTTTGAATGTCACACCATCTAAGTATTTTAATGAAATAAAGCGGATATTTTGTTACTAAAATGACCACGAAATTGGTTAAGAAAAATGTGAGCCGATGTAAAGAAAATGTCTGCGTTTTGTTAAACTTATTTTCATTTTACCCCTCATGCACAACATGAAGGAGAGTTAGATGTATCAACATTTTTATATATTTCTGCAGTTGCTCTATAGATATAAGATAAGTAAAAGTGTAACGTATTAATTCTTTAGATGAAGTTGTATTATAGCAAATTTTAATATGTATATTTTTTTAAGGCTAGTTGCAGTAGCATATACGATGCTAATGGAGTATGAACCTAAAATATCTATTGTGCGCCTAAATATTATTATTATGACATGTTCTATAAATTACAATCACAATTCAAGAACTTAGTCCATTCATATATGCTTTTCAGATATCGCTATTACGCGCTAATGCTCTAAGCTCGCTGAATGACTTGTTAGTCTCCCGCCTAAATGTCCAACTAAAACAATTCTAGACTATTTATAAATCTTGTAAACAGTGTGAGCTTAATTGTGCCTATTTGATTTGTGACTAAGATCCTGCTTGCAAGGTAATCAAGTCTACGTCTTGCCGCTGCTGGGTAGTTGATTAGAATATGTTCAGATGTTTCCTTCTTCCTCATGACAGAGTCAACAGGAATCACTTTCTACCGCACCTATAATCTTCATGTGGTAATTAAGT